CAACAGGTAGAGAGGAAGTGAGCGTATGTGCGTGTATTGAGGTTGATATTGATATAGGTCTAAGAGAGTCACGTGGGCATTAAGTTGAATTAAGGTTTGATTAGATAGTGTCGACGGAGGTGCCACGTGACGGGCCCGTGGCTCGTGCGGCTCGCTGGGGCGTCTCGCGGGGCGCTTCGGATACGGCCCGCGGGGACTCGGCGCTGGGGTTTGCTTTAGTGTAGACGTACATGCGTAAGTACATACTTACATGCATGCGTGAATACATACATAACATACTGAAATATATGCGTACATATACATACATGTTTTATAAGCATAGATACTCATTCGTACGTGTTTATATATGTTTGCATACGTGTGTCACCTACGAAAAATACAGTCCTATCTTTTCTCGTCTGCCTTGTTAGGGTTCACAGGAGATTTTAATAAAGAAAACGGAGAGTCCGTGTTAGAAACAATATATGGCCTCGTTTTTAGGGGTTGCTGGATTTTTTTGGGGGGAGGGTAGGGGTGGAGGGAGAAGAGGGAGGAAGTGTGTGTGTCTGTGCGTCTGTGTGTATGTATGTATGCATGCATGTGTGTGTTTTTGTTCTGTTTGGGGAATATTGATCCCAGAAGCAGGACGGCGGCAGGTTGCACAGGTTGCACAGGAGATTGCATGACCGTGGGATATCAACACACTAGTTTATGTTGATTGCATTCTTGCCCCTCTTGCGGATGGATATTCCAGGATTTTTTTTTTTTTTTTTTTTTTTGGATAACCTTTTTTTCCCTATTTTTTCTTTTGTGGTGTGCCTTTAACCTTTTTTTCCCTATTTTTTTTCTTTTGTGGTGTGCCTTTTATTTTAGCACGTTGCATGCTTTAGTCACGGGAGGGAGAAATTCACATTTTGTAAGGGGATTTGATTTATTTTTCTTTACCTTTTTTCTCTATTTTTTTCTTAACGAGAATCAGGTCATATGTTCGTAGGTCTTGGTTCGGTTTTTGGGTCAGGGTTATATTTTTTTTCGTTTTGAACAAAGAAACGTAAAAGAAAATATTGCGCGCCTTGAGACGTATAGCACCCGTCTCCTTCATCCTCTTCTGCATTCTCTCTTTCTTCCACCCTTCTGCAGCCCTTCTTCTTCCTCTTTCGTTTTACTCTTACTCTTACTCTTCTCTCTCCTTTTCCCTTTGTTTTTTCTCCTCCTCCTCCTCTTTCTCCTTCCCTCCTCCTCCCTTCTCCTCCCTCTTCGCTCTTTCTCCTGCTCCACTTCCTCCTCTTTTCCTCCTTCTCCCCTCTTCTTCTCCTCCTCCCTCCCTCTCCTCCTCCTCCTCCTCCTCCTCCTCCTCCTCCTCCTCTCCCCCCCCATACTTCCTCTTCTCCTCTTCCTCCCTCCACCACTCCCTTCCGCTAGGATGTAGTGCCATTACATTTACTCACCCCGAGGCGCTCAATTATTCACCGGGCGTGCGTGAGTACTGATACTCGACACCTTTTATCTTTATGGGGCTTTTGGCTGACCATTATATTTATTTATTTATTTGCGTTGGTACGGTTAGAGAGAGAGAGAGAGAGAGAGAGAGAGAGAGAGAGAGAGAGAGAGAGAGAGAGAGAGAGAGAAGAGAGAGAGAGAGAGATTGAGTGAGAATGAGAGATGATGGAGAGATCCTGTATATTATTACATTTTTTGTTTTTGATACATGGCGCTTGTTAGTGAATTCTTATATCTGTGGGTTTATCCGATTTTTGTTGTCCTTTTTTTCTAAGGCGGAATGTGGATGTGTGGATACGGCCTGTGATGGGAAGCGAGGGTTGGGTGCGCTGGCGGGTTCCTTTTCCGGCATTTGACACTTGGCTTGCAGGGGTAAGATTAGGGGTTTGGTTTGGTGGGGGTGGGGGTGGAGGAGGAGGAGTGGGGGAAGTGGGTGGGAGGAAGATGCAAAGGTCGGGCCTCGAAACCGTGCTTTTGCACTCGCCATAAACGGTGTCTTCCTGTGCCTGCTTCTCCCTCCTCCCTCCTTCCTCCCTCCCTCCTTATCCTGCCATCCCCCTTTCCTCTCTCCTTCCATCCCCCTTTTCCCTCTTCCCTCTCCTCTCATCCCCTCCTCTCTTCCCATCCTCCTCTTCCCACTTTGTCGTCGTCCTCTCTCCTTTTCCCTCCTCCTCTTCCCTCCCTTTTCTCCTCCTTTTCTCTTCCTCCTCCTCTCCTTCTTTCTTCTTCCTTTCTCCTCTCCTCCTCCTCCTCTTTCCCCTGCCCTCCCTCATCTTTACTCATCATCCTCATAAACGAGAGGTTTCTGTGACCGGAGGATGAAGGGCGACGGCGGGGGCCAAGGGTGAGAGCGTGTACAAAGGTCTTTCCACCCTCCTCCCCTCCTCCCCCCCTTCTTCCTTCCAACGCCCATTCCCTTTCCATCTCATTCTTCGTACTTCCCTCCCTCCCTCTCCCCCCCCCCAACGTTCCACCTCTCCCCCCACCTCTCCTTCTTCCCTCCCTCCTCCTTTCCACCCCCTTCCTTCCCCCTTCTCCTCCCTCTCCTTCCTCACCCCTCACCCCTTCCTCCTCCCTCTCCCTCTCCCTCCCCCCCCCCCCTCCTCCTCCTCTCCCAAGCCTCGGGGCCGCAGTCACGAAGGCCGGCTAAAAGGGCGAGCGTTCAACCCTTTAGTCGTATCCTGGATCCGTGATAGGGGGGGGTAGGAAGGGGAGGGAGGAAGGGATAGAGGGGGAAGGGAGAAGGGTGATTGGCTGGTTCGCTTGTGAGCTATGAGAGGGGGGGGCAGGAAGTGAGGGAGGGAGGGAGGAGGAGAGAGAGATAGGTAGATAGATGGATGATAGATAGATAGATAGATAGAGGAGGAGGGAAGGAGATAGCAGAGTTGATTAATGTGATTTTTAGGGGGTGAGCTTAGTGGGCCCAACAATCAATCAATTTAATTTAATAACTCCCTCTCCCATTTTTCTCCGTGCGTGCGACTGTGCCTACCATTCCATCTTATCGCCATGACACCGAGTGTTTATTTAGGGATACTCGTCGGTGCGTATTCGGCGGTGTACACGCGAGGTGCAAGGTGGGGACGGTTTGGTGGGGAGGGGCAGCGAAGAGGACATTTGCGCCTCCATCCCCACCCTCCCCTGACCCCCTCAACTCCAACTTCACTCTTTGGGTCTTCAACACCTTCCCCTCTCCCTCCCCCCCCCCTCCTCCCTCCCCCTTCCCCTCTCCCTCCTCACCCTTCCCTCTCTCCTCCCACCCTTCCTCCTCTCCACCACCGGACGACTCGCGGCACGACCCTCGTGGCAGAGAGCGAGCATTCAACTTGACCTTTAACAAGGTGTGTGTGTGTGTGTGTGAGTGGATATGTATGTACGTACGTATGTATGTATATGTATGTTTCTTTTGGGATGCCACTCTTAATGTGCACAGGTCGGCCACGCTTCAACTTGCCCAAGTACGTTTCCCCACGAATGTGCGTATGTGTTCTTTTTGCGTGTCCTGGAGGCGAACGTCCTAATTGGGGGGGGGGGGCAGAAGGGATGACGGCAGCGAGGCGGTCGCCCAAGGACGAACGCTGTCGCTCACACGGGTCGCGGCGTGGTGTTGCGATCTCGATTCGCCCCGACCCGCGGGTGGTGGTCGAGTGGGGCGCTGCGTGTGTGCTCGTCCGAATGATTGGCAGGGTGACTCACGCGCGGGGTGTCCGCTGCTCCGAGGTGTCGTCGCCGGTGGAGACTCGGCGCCCATTATCGAGGCTGTTCGGCGAGG